GCTTGATGCACACATCAATCTGAATATTCATACAAGCACAAACATGCACTGTTCCAAACTTCTGTTATTTAGTAGCAAGCAGCACCATCCAAAAAAAAAAAAATCAATCAGTGCAGTTAAGGTTTGGATGATACAATATGGAGATAACGTGCTGATAAAGTACTGTAGATACAATTGGGAATACTGTACATACAGGCTAGTGGTAAACTCAACCCCATCCTACAAATTAAATTTAGTTTATGTAATGCATTTTCCTCCTTTTTAAAAAATAAATGTATATATGCTATCAGAAGAACTCTCAGCATAGCTAGGATTGCCAACTTTCTAATCGTACAAAACTAAACACCCCTGTCCCGCCCCCTGTCCCACCCTTCCCGGAGTCTCTGCCCCACCCCGTCTCTGAGGCCCCGCCCCACTCGCTCCATCGTTTGTTCTCCCCCACCCTCACTCACTTTCACCAGGCTGGGGCAGGGGGGTGAGAGCTCCGGCTGGGGATGTGGGCTCGGGGTGGGTGTGGGATGAGGGGTTTGAGGTGCGGGAGAGGGCTGCGGGCTGGAGCAGGGGGTTGGGGTGCAGGGGGTTGAGGACTCCGGCTGGGGGTGCAGGCTCTGGAGTTGGGCCGGAGATGAGACGTTTGGGGTGCAGGAGGCGGCTCAGGGCTGGGGCAGGGAGTTGGGATGCGGGGGGCAGGAGTTTGGGCTCTGGGCTGGGGGTGTGGGCTCCAGGTGGGGCCAGAAATGAGAGGTTCAGGGTGAGGGAGAGGGCTCCAGACTGGGGCATGAGGTTGGGGCATGGGAGGGGGGGTGAGGACTCCAGCTGGGGGTGTGGGCTCTGGGGTTGGGTCAGTGATGAGGGGTTTGGGGTGCAGGAGGGGGCTCAGGGCTGGGGCAGAGTGTTGGGGGGGGTGCAGGCTCCGGGAGGGAGTTTGGGTGCAGGAGGGGACTCCGGGCTCTGGCAAGGATCTGGGAGTGGGTGTGGAGTCCCTGTGGCGCTTACTGCGGCTCCCAGGAAGCAGCTGCCAGGCCCTGGCTGCCCCTAGGTGCGTGGGCGGCCAGGGAGGCTCCGCGCGTTGCCCTTGCGCCCACGACCAATGGGAGCAGAGGAGCCGGCACTAGGAGTGGGGGCAGCGCGTGGAGTCTCCCTGGCCGCCCATGCCCCTAGGGACGCAGGGACCTGGCGGCCGCTTCTGGGAGCCACACGGAGCCAGGGCAGGCAGGGAGCCTGCCTTAGCCCTGGGCCCCTGCTGCGCCGCCAACCAGACCTTTAACGGCCTGGTTGGTGGTGCTGACTGGAGCTGCCAGGGTCCCTTTTTGACCAGGTGTTCTGGTTCTAATCGTACAAAACTAGACACCCCTGCCCCGCTGGTTCAAAAGCTTATAATTTGGACAGACACCTGGCAACCCTAAGCATAACAGTGTCATCTTGGAAATAACATGGTTGACAAAATGAGCAGAAAGGCTACCGTAAGAGCTTCTTTAATTATTTAGAGCAAATACAATAACTTTAATTTAGCTAAACTATACATTTTATAATTTTACACAAAAATGTCATTTTCTGCCCATCTCTCACCAATATTTATTAGCAAAAGACTGATATATAATAGCATATAACTAAAATCTAATGATTTTTACAGAATCTACCACATGTACTTGTACAGTTTGAAATATTATAAATAGTTGAAACTGAATTACACGTAAGAAAATAAATGAGCAAATCAGGTTTTGTGATAGGTATCATCCTTGTTTTTTTTAACCTGTGTATTGCAAATTCACAAAATTCAATAATCATCAGTAGGCCTACAAGGCATTAATGTTTTTGTTTTAAAGGTATATTTACAGGCAATTATACAAGTAAATATACATATAAAATTACACACACACAAACTATGTTAAAAGAACATTGTTAATGTTGCAAAGTTAAGCATTTAAAAGTTAGGAAATTCCAGTATTAAGGTTTTCCATGCAACCCTAGTTCTGCCCTCTTGTGCACGCGCATTATGATAGTCTTTAATGACAGGATGACATACTATTTTTTCCACAGGACACCTGCCTGATTTAGTGCACAGGCTGGCCCTGCTCTGGGGATGAATCAGGACTGAGGGTTTTGTCTGTAGGATGAGGCAGGGGATAACAGAAAAAAAAGGGACAGTTAAAGACACTCAAAAAACAGAAATTCCATCATGTGGAATCATTCTGACGTCCAGATGGGTCACCAGCAGGGTTGGAACCTATAGCTCTACTGTACAGATTCTGGCTCTTGAAATAACGGAGTCAGTTGTTATCTATGTGGACCCGCACTAGAGGGGGACGGGACGGGACGCACATGGATTTCACAGGGATTTGCTGACAGCAGGGGAGTAGTATCAGAGGGGTAGCCGTGTTAGTCTGAATCTGTAAAAAGCAACAGAGGGTCCTGTGGCACCTTTGAGACTAACAGAAGTATTGGGAGCATAAGCTTTCGTGGGTAAGAACCTCACTTCTTCAGGGGAGTAGTGAGACTCTGGAATCTTTGGCTCCAAGCTCTGGAAGGATGGGCACAGACTCTTCTGCTTGTTTCCCTCCAAGCTGTCCCTGTCCCAGTCCTGTCTCTTACCAGTCCTGGTATCGGTCCTGGTATCAGTCCTCCTTTTTCCTTGCCTACGCAGCCCTACCTCCACTCCTCGGGATTTCCATCCTAGTCTCGTTGCCCAGCCAGTCCTCATCTCTCCCTCCAGTCTCTCTGTCCAAGCCCCAGTCTCCCCCCAAGTCTTAGTCTCTCTGTGCCCCCACACCCAATCCCAGTTTCCTTACCCAGATAGTCCCAATTCCCCCTTCCTGCTGCAACTTCTTGTCCCCAGTCTCCTTGGCTAGCCAGTCCTAATCTCCTCTCTTCCCCTAGCTCTTCATTGATCTCAGTGTCTCTACTCCTTTATGACAGTTGGCTCTCATCTCCCCATTTCCTTCACTGGCTCCCAGTCCCATTCTCCACTACATGGCAATTATTCAAAAGCTTATAATTTGGACAGATTTCACAGGGAAGGCAAAAGGCACATCCCTGACACAAAGGCCAACTCCTGCCAAAAGTCAAGTCCCTTCTTCAAAGCATGGGGGTGCCACAGCATTTAATAAAAGAAAAGGTCACCAGAATTTTTAACATGGGCAAAACAATGTATTTTCCCCTAGCCTTGTTCTGGCAAATGTTCAAAAATGAAAACAACAAAACAAGCCTGACGCAGATATCTATCATGAACATTTTCAACCCAAACGGTTAAAGTTTGACAAAGTTATATGCAACTGAAAACAGGGTCTTATAATGGGAAGTATTCTCAGACTTCTTATCAAACTGTCTGTACTAGGCTATCTTGATTATCACTTCAAAAGTTTTTTTCTCTTACTTAGTTGGCCTCTCAGAGTTGGTAAGACAACTCCCACCTGTTCATGCTCTCTGTATGTGTGTATATATATAATCCTCAATATATGTTCCACTCTATATGCATCCGAAAAAGTGGGCTGCAGTCCACGAAAGCTTATGCTCTAATAAATTTGTTAGTCTCTAAGGTGCCACAAGTACTCTTGTTCTTTTTGCGGATACAGACTAACACGGCTTTTACTCTGAAACCTGTCATAATGGGAAGTGTTGGGCAAACTTAATAATAGGCAGGCTACCAGCCCTGCCAATAATACACAGATAAGTATCCAGGTTTAAGGAACAATATTGTTTTGTTCAAGTAAGAACAAAGTACTTGGTGCAGTTTTGTTTTACAGAAGACATAGATACTGGATGTAGCATTATTATGGAGAAGTATACACACAAGTATTCAATGTTTCACCCAAAGGAAAGCTAACATCTTCACAGAGCCAAACTCCTGAGGTCCCTTCCAACCCTGATATTCTGTGATTCTATAATTCTATGAACAAAGGACCTTTCTGTTTTTCAAAGAGTTGCCAGACATAGATAGTATTAGCAATGAAAAACTTGGGATCTGGTAGAGCAGACCCTTACACTAGTGCTGAGTCCCATTTAAATTAAAGGAACACTGAACAGGTGCAGGGACCTAGGAAATCCTGATTCATGATCTGGTTCTAAGAATATTACACAAGTTACATAGTCTTGATACTGACTGGTGAAGAAGAAATGACTCATAATGTTAGTTCAGGAACAGATAACAATAATCCAAAGAGAGGACATTTAGGGTAAGATTTCTAAAGGTATTTGGGCTCCTAAATCACACCTGGTGAAATTTGCTTATTGAAATGAATGGGAGTTATGTGCTTAGGTGCTTTTGAAAATCCCACTTGACACCTATCTGCAATTTAAGGCACTTTAATACCTTTAAAAATCTGGCCTTTAGGGACATTTTATTTTAGTAACCCAAGTCTCTCCTGGAAGTGTTTTCTTACAGTGAAATTAGCTTACAGTAATAGCATGGTGAAGTCATGAATAATCACTTTGGCATATGAAAGCTTTCATGGCTGTTTTCTAAAAGAGATGTAATGGAGAATAATATTTCTAAAAGAGACGTAATGGAGAAAAAAGTAGTTTTCTTCAAATCCCACATTCATGCTAGAAATATACTACTGCTGAGAATACACATTTCAAAGGGTGCTACTGAAGACAATTTAACTAAAAAAAACCTTAAAAGGATAGCTAATGAAGTCAATGGGAATTCTATGCATAGAGTGGTTATAGAACTAATCTGTACCAATTTGTCAAAGTGAAATCTTCGTGTGTGTGTGTGTGTGTGTGTGTGTATGTGTGTATTATATATTTAAATCTAAGTCTCAGGATATTTGTCTTCCATTTGTCTTCCACAAAATCCGTTTGTTATTGGCAATGTACTATAAACCAGGTCAGCACATCTTAATTAAATTAAACCTTCATTAGTGGCAATCAGGGTGAAATACACTTACACCAATCAAATTTAGGTTGATTTTTCCTAAATGCTGAAGGCCATATTCTACCCATGGAAAACAGTGTTCTCAATGTCTTGCATTTTTACATGTTTGTTTCTTTGCTCACAGTACAGTGCTGTGGACACAAACCCGTTATCAGTCTATGTTATGCAGCCCCTCTGGAACAGAATTGTAAAGGTAAGAGTCTTATTGTTTATAAGAACTATCCAGTCATAATGTAAGGGTTTGTTTTAAGGTGCAGAAGGTAGATTTAATTTTAAACAATAGATACTGATTTTAAAAAGCTGAAATTAAACCTATAAAAAACGAAATAACAACCCTTGAAACCCCCACCACACAAGAGCTTACTGAATCGATAGATATATTTGAGATGGGTATGTTTAGATTTTTATGTATCTGTTACCAGTGTTGTACCTATTGTTTGTCATCATTATAACAGAAAACATCAGTTGCCATCACATTCCTCATTACTGAATTTTTGGAGACATTGAAAGACATCCTTAGTACAAGTTATTTTTTCTACAGCATATGCTTTCTACCACCAGCATCTCTTTATCTTTCTGTTGTGCAAATGATTACAAACAAGCACTGTCTAATATTCTCCCAAGGGAACTTGTCCAGGGAGCTGGATATTTCTTTAACAAGCTGAAAATGGGAGCAGTTACTATGATCACCAAAAATGTTGGGAGGCGCCATCACTCGGATGCAATGGCATCAGCAGATTTTTTTTCTAATGAAGCTGCTCACAATTAGATTTACTGCAACTGGGGTAAAATAGTAGCTAATAAGTCTCATATAAATCTGTACTGTGACGTTGCACTATATATGATTTTATGAAAATATGCTGATGAGTGTGAATATAATGTAACTAAAATATGCTTCATGCAAAAGGTCTCTTGTAAGGTATCATTACAAAGCTTATAATCTACTGAGTGTCGTCATCCTATTTGTATAAATGTATCACTCTTGTATCTGAAACTAGAAATATGAAATATAACTTTGAGGGCCTGTTGTAATTATGCAAAGTGTGGGCCATTAATGGTGGTTTGGAATCTTGATGGCACCCTTCAAACAGGACAATTGACTGTGGATGGCTCTGTTGGCAGGCAAGCCTTCCTGTGAGTCAGGCTGGGCAGAATGAAGGCTTGGGGTCTTACAGTGACATGTGATCATGTCACCTGAACTGGAATCCATCTTTAACCTGGTGTCTTTCCATTGAGAAGGAGGGGTGGGAACCCAGAGGGACAAAGGATTCCCGCCTTATGTAAAAGATATATAAGTGGGGGAAACAGAACAAAAGGGGCGGCAATCATGAGAAATCCCCTAGCTACCACCTGAGCTGGAACAAGGGCTGTACCAGGGGAAAGGATTGTGCCCAGACTAGAAAGGCATCCAGTCTGTGAAAGAAACTTACTGAAACATCTCTGAGGGTGAGATTTTATCTGTATTCAGTTTTATTACTGTACTAGGCTTAGACTTGCATGTTTTATTTTATTTTGCTTGGTAATTCACTTTGTTCTGTCTGTTAGTACTTGGAACCACTTAAATCCTACTTTCTGTATTTAATAAAATCACTTTTTACTTATTAATTAACCCTTATTAATTAATACAGGGTATGTATTAATACGGGGGGGGGGAGCGCAAACAGCTGTGCATATCTCTCTATCAGTGTTATAGAGGGTGAACAATTTATGAGTTTACCCTGTATAAGCTTTATACAGGGTAAAACAGGTTTATTTGGGGTTTGGACCCCATTGGGAGTTGGGCATCTGAGTGTTAAAGACAGGAACACGTCTTAAGTTGCTTTCAGTTAAGTCTGCAGCTTTGGGGCACATGGTTCAAACCCTGGGTCTGTGTTGGAGCAGACTGGCGTGTCTGGCTCAACAAGATAGGGTGCTGGAGTCCCAAGCTGGCAGGGAAAGCAGGGGCAGAAGTAGTTTTGGCACATCAGTTGGCAGCCCCCAGGGGATTTCTGTGATCTAACACGTCACATGTACTTCCATATTCACCTTCAGGAAAATAATGGCATCTGTACAGACATATTAAAGGGGAATTTGTATAGTGGAGCAAACTTGAGAGCAGACATCATATATATCTAAAGAAATTGATGTATTTGGTTAGTAATTTTTAGCTCCTTCCATGTTTGTTTAACAACACAGCCACTACTTATCCCTGATCCAGCAATGAAGTCATAATCCCATAAACATCCTCGGTGTTTTGTCATGAAAATGATTGTGATGTCACAAATTCAGCTCTGTGACTTCACTTTAGGATCAAATCAGAGAAGATAGTATGCCAGGGAGCAATTTTAACATAATTAACCCTGGTAGTTGGCATTTCAGGACCAGATGCTTCTGTCCTTATAATGCTATAGAGGGCTATGGTGGAATAGAAAAGCCCACCCCCCAGGGGCTACTTCCACTTCCTAAAAAAACCCAACATAAGGAGAGGAGCAGAGCCTTCATCACATGTTTCCCTATGCTCCAAAGCCTGCAGAAGTTCCCCTATACTGGCAACAAGTGTTTGTTACTCCATGGGTATTCTGGGGCACCTCAAGTTGGAGGGAGAGAATGGGAACTGAGGAACAGCTTCACTCTATGGCCTCCATAGAAAGAAGGTTACATTTTGCAGCCTGTTGCCATGGAGTTTAAAGGGACCCTGTCAAGTTAAAAATCATATAAATATATATTTTAAAATATCTTGGCCTGTCTTCCTAACACAACCTTGGTGTACTAGAATTTTCAAAACTTCATTTACTTTTGACTGATTCTGGTTTTTGTTGACTTTAGACTCCATAGGCTATAAGACTGGAAGGGACCATCATAATCATTTAGTCTGACCTCTTACTCATCACAGGCCAGAGACCTTCATCCACCCATGCCAGCACTAGGCCCATCTCCTCTGGTTGAGTTACTGAAGTCCTCAAATCTTGATTTAAAGACTTCAAGTTACAGAGAATCCACCATTTACTCTAGTTCAGACTAGCAAGGGACTCGGGCCCCAAGGCAAGAAAACCCCCAGGGTCTCTGCCAATTTGACCTAGGAGGAAAATTCTTTCCTGACCACAAATATGATGATCAGTTAGACCCAGAGCATGCAGGAGAGACTCACCGGCTAGACACCAGGGAAAGAATTCTCTGTAATGACTCAGAACCCTCCGCACCTAGTGTCCCATCACTGGCCATTGGAGGTATTTGCTAGTAGTAGACACAGATGGACCATATGTCATTGTAGACAACCTCATCATACCATCCCCTCCATAAAATTATCAAGCTCAGTCTTGAAGCCAGTTATGTTTTTTGCCTCCACTACTCCCCCCTTGGAAGGCTGTTCCAGAACTTCACTCCTCTAATGGTTAGAAACCTTCATCTAATTTCAAGCCTTAACTTGTTGATGGCTAGTTTATATCCATTTGTTCTTGTGCCAACGGTGACCCTTAACTTAAATAACTCTTCTCCATCCCTGGTATTTATCCCTCTGACGTATTTGTAGAAAGCAATCATATCTCCCTTCAGGTTTTGGTTAGGCTAAAAATCAACAAGTCAAGCTCCTTAAATCTGCTCTCAAAAAACTCACGTAAGACCTATTTAACCTATCTCTATTGGCAATACTTCACCTAATGTGACCTAGGATTGCATTAGCCTTTTTCATGGCTATACCACAGTAGCAGCTTATAGTCATCCTGGGATCAACCAGTACATCCAAGTCTTTCTCCTCATTTGTTGCTTCCAACTGGTAAGTCCCCAGCTTATAACAAAAGCTCTTGTTGTTTGTCCCTAAGCGCATGATCTTGCATTTTGCACTATTAAGTTTCATCCTATTTCTAGTACTCCAGATTTCAAGGTAGTCCATATCTTCTTGTATGATATTCTGATCCTCCTCCACTTTGTGTCAGACACAAATTTTATTAGCACACTCCCATTTTGGGGGCCATGTTAAATGTTAAATAAGACTGATTCCAAGAATGAACCTACAGGAATTCCACTAGTAACCTCCCTCCAGCATGACAGTTCACCTTTCAATATGATTATCGTCTCTCTTTTAACCGGTTCCTTGCCCATCTTTCGATCCTTGTATTAATCCCTATCTTCTCCAATTTAATTAATAATTTCTCATATGGAACTGTAAAAAGCAACAAAGAGTCCTGTGGCACTTTGTTGCTTTTTACAGATCCAGACTAACACGGCTACGAACTGTATCAAATACTTTACTGAAATCCAGGTAGATTAGATGTACTGCATTTCCTTCATTTGGAAAATCTGTTATCTTCTCAAAGAAAGAGGTCAGGTTAGTTTGGCAAGATCTACCTTTTGTAAAACCATGTTCTATCTTATTCCTAATTATCCTATGTCTTTAATTACTCTCTCTTTCAAAATTTGTTCTAAGACCTTGCACACAACTGAGGTCAATCTAGTGGGCCTGTAGTTTGCTAGATCACTTTTTAAAAAAATGTTCTTAAATATAGGTACTATATTTGCAGTTCTCCAGTCATAAGGTACAACCCCCCGAATTTATGGATTCATTAAAAATTCTTGCCTTTGGGCTTGCCATTGCACATGCCATCTTTCTGCTAAAGATGGGCCCAAACCAGAATAGTGGAATGAAACCTCCCTCAAACTTTGGGTCTGGAGACAAAATCTCTGGAGTGGGAGCCTCTCTACTCTTTGCATTTCTTTCAGCTTCAGCAATGAAGATAGTCAGCTTCACTTTTGCTCCTAGTTATTTTCACTATCAGTTCTAATCTGGAGCAATGCAGGATAGTGGGTTTTTTTTAAAAATAACCTGCCTCCACCGGAATAAAAAAATCATAGAATTATTTCTATTGTTCTCAGCTTTTGTAAAAGTTACTTTTTAAAATCATACACCTTGGGCCATGTTTTAGATGAGAACATCTCTTTAATGCTAGACTGACCACTGTTAACTCCTGTAGAGGACGTGGGAATGCACAGCCAAAATGGGGGATCCAGTATGTAGTAGAAATTTCAGTAGAGTCCATTAGGATTGTTTGACTGGTTTCTGGTTGTTTCTACAGGAGCCAAGCCACAGAACCAGTAGACCTATAGACATTTTGCTCTGTTCCAAAACTTAGTTGGCCAACTAGGACAAGTGAGAACCAGATGAATATTTTAAGTACTGAATATTCTGAGTACTGAGAATAGGTTTGACTGCAGCTCCTCTCACTCAGCCCTACAAAATTTTACTCACTTGCTCACAAAGGGAGTAATTATTTTTTTCTAACAGCAAGTAAAATTGTATCTTAATGGTAAGGCTAAGTGAATAGATATTATCCTTAGCTGGTAAATTTTGCAAACCACCTTTATTTATTCAGATTATTTATTTTTGTGTTTTGTATCCATAGTAAATACAAGAACTGGGCTAGAAGCAATAATCTAGCAAATAATACTGAACCTACATCTCACAGTGACATTTGACTTTGATGTGACCAGAAAGGTACATCACAGTAGAGAGATGAGAGAGAGTTTTAGGAATGTTATTAGAAATTAAACAAATTGCTTGAAATTTGTTTATTAAACACTGGGTAATAAAAACATGCCTTTGGAGGCCTGAGATATCTCTTTCCTTTTGGTTCAGCTATCCTATACAATTTGCCATACTTATATACATTCATATACACAAGATATGAATAAATTCTGTATTTTTTGAATCCATGAAGCCAAAGAAACCCCACTGCACTATATTTCCTCTCTTCCTTGTGCCCTAGAGCAGTTAAAAAAAAAAAGTCTTGCAGAACCAGTCAAGTAAAGAACAAAGTGTGATGGTCTATAAAAAATGTATGAATATGGATGCATAGGAATTAGGTCTAGCTTTTCGTGTGCCAGTTTAACCCTATTTATGGCGCATGTATCTGTGTATTCCAGAACAGAAAGGAAAGCATCCACTTGTCACCTCACCCTGCGTTTATGCACACACTTTTACTGCATTATGAGAGACATGAGGAGAATCCAGCACTGAAGGAGAGATAGCTATAGAGCAAGGCAGACACATTCATATCCCAACAAGAGAAAGAAAACTACCTTATTGTAGCTGGTTTACGCGTTTATCTGAATATTAGCAGAGCAGCCAAGATATCCATGTAGGTAGGAGATTCATCTGGGAGTTCTGAGCATTACTAGCTGGTGAGTGCATATTTCTTAGGTACGGTATCATGTCTGATAGTATCACTGTATGTTACTTTCATTTATTACACATTTTTTGGATGTCATAAACATTCTTGGTTAGACATCTGTTCACTTTCCACTGATTATCATGAAAAAACAGAAAGTAGAGGAAGACTGGCTTTATGCCATGATTTTACAATGTGCTAGGAGCATTTCTGTTATGCATGCGTCCATTGTAGACCCTTCCCATAATGAGACAGCATATGAAGAGGAGCTAAACTACAGCATATGTATGCAAGCCATCTTTATACCTTGAGGGAGGACTATGTGCAGAACATTTATATCCCAGGGGAGCAGAAAGATCTTTTTGCTTCAGGGAGTTCATTTTATAAGGGGTACCCCCCTATAAAGTCATACTGTTTTGTGGGTGTGTCACATCTGAAAGTGTTTATTTATAGAAAAAAAGGGGTTGCAGAATTTCTGCCTGTAGAATTACTTATTACAGTATGGGAGTGGAGTCCTTTGTTACAGTGCTGCCTGGATGCTGAGTTACCACACTGTGGTACCTGCAGTCTTCTTGCTTTTCTAGTGTCTAAAAGCATGAGAAACTTTCAATGTAGCACTTGGGAGAACAAGGACCATAATTAAATATGTATATGCATGAAATAGAACATTTCTAAACTACATTATTTATTAAAAATGTCACTAAAAGATTTAGGCAAAAAAGACAATATTTAAGAAGAAAATTTCTTGCATATTTTCCAGAACTTTTTAATTTAAAAAATTGAGGAATCTTTAAAATTGTGAAATATTTGCTGATTTTGCACCTATAGAAACCCTTGATTTATTAACACATACTTCTCTTGTTGTGACGTGTTCTGTTAAAATATGGCTTCTTAACGTCAATGTGATTTTTCTTTTAAATATTTTTACAGATAGTGCCTCTGTGGATTGCCCCTAACTTGTTAACCTTCTCTGGATTTCTGATGATTTTAATTAATTATTTTCTGTTATCTTTTTATGACTGGGACTACACTGCATCAGGTAATTATCCATTTGGTTTTTAGAACTGTAGAGCTACTCAAACCACATTCCTGCAAGATACCTGCCTGCCTCCTCCCACACAAAGCCATATTGATTTCAGTGGGGCTCCATGCGGATGCAGTGGGGCCTGCCTGCCCACATCTCATTGCAGGATCAGGACTGTGAATTGCAAAGACTCACAGGTCATTTAGCTGAAATTTTACACTATGGGTTTGATCCTGTACCCATTAAAGTCAAAACTCCCATTGAATTAAGTGGTGCAGGATCAGGCACTATCACAGGATTCTAATGCCATAGTCGTTCATAAATAAGATAATAAAAAAGAAAAACCCATGTCTTCCATAGAGTTTTTTCATTTACCTCAGAGACCATAATATCTAAGATCTGTGTCCAGACCAGTATTCATTTCCCTTTCTTTTCTGATATCAAAATAAGTGAGTTTCACCTCCAAATTCAAGTCTTTTTCAGGCCAAATACAAAACTACAGAAATGGATTCAAAACACCTGCTCTCGCCTGACAAATTTAGATCTACATTTTCTCAGGCTCCAAATCCAAACGTATCTGTTTAATGGACTGAATTACTAATACCACTCACTCCGATTTCAAGGATGACATCAACAATCACAATTTGTACTAATGGATTTTTGCCTGGGTCTGTAGACCAATTTGGGAAGAACAACATTTACCACACTGACCACAGAGCCATTTGCCTGGGTTGTGTTAAATGAGCTGCACATTATTTCTGTACCTGGTGCTGTGCTTCCTGCTGCACCAGCCAGACTGTAAGAAAACTGAAAAGGTTTGTATATATGAACATTTATTGTTGGGATACACTCACCGGGTTATGTCTAATTTAGATTGCATGCTCTTTTGGGCAGGGACCTAATGCTCTAAATAAACAAGGATTAAAAAAATAGCAGTTTTGTAGCCATCTTGTAGTTCTATACAATTCATATTTGTCCCTGGTTTAAATGCAAGAATATAAAGAATCACTGTATCAAGCATCTTTCCAAAAATCAAGAGAAACTATGTCTACTATATTCCCTCTAGCCTATGGGCAAAGTTTTCCTCTCTGATCTGTACAGTAAAACTGCACAAAGATCTCATTTATGTTACTAAGAACAATACGTTACTAAGAACTTAAAAATGACACAGTGCATTGCACAAATATTAACTAATTAGTTGATGAGTGGTCTGCACAGAACCTGAATGAAGATTTTTGCCCTATTTTCATTACTTTCATACAATGTTGTAATCACTTCAGCTGCAATAATCTATTGTATATTTTTTCCCTTTTACAATATGAACGTACTTGTAAATACCCTGGGCCTCCATTATCCCACTAAATTCAGTGAAGTGTAATTAATATAGATTGCTGATGGTGCACATTGCTTCCAGTTCACAAAAATATCTTGTTATAATTCTTTTTCACATAATGGGGATATGCACATACACATATATACATCTGCTATTGCACACAAGACTTTTAGGTGGATTTCATTAGTTATAACCACTGTTATTCCTTCCCACCCCTCCACTCACCCCATATCTTGCAGGTGCCAGTCCTGGAATTGTTCCAACATGGGTATGGCTGTTTGGTGCTTGTACCACCTTTTGTGCTTATGCTTTAGGTAAAGTATGAAAAGAGGATTTGCATAACTCATATCTACATATTGTTTTGTCCAGTATATTGTAATTAAAACACTAAAAGGTTGTGAATAAATTACTGGCCTATTCCCAAAGTACTGAAATACACCTCTACCCCGATATAACGCTGTCCTTGGGAGCCAAAAAATCTTACCGCGTTATGGGTGAAACCGCGTTATATCGAACTTGCTTTGATCCGCCAGAGTGTGCAGCCCTGCCCCCCCCCCCCGGAGCACTGCTTTTCTGCGTTATATCCAAATTCGTATTATATTGGGTCGCGTTATATCGGGGTAGAGGTATATAGGTATTTGATAATGTGCTGAAAATGCTTAACACCCGTAGGATGTATTTTTAAACCAACATTCTGAAACTTTCCATATTGATAAACTGCAGCCTTGATAACTAGCTCATCTCCCTTACAAATGCAAGCACAATTTTTTTGCAGCATGACAACACCAAAACATATTCTTGGGAAATTGTCACTAAGTACTGACATTGCTGTCGGTGATACTGGCTACAGTCCTCGGCTTTCATAAAAAAATAATTTCATTGTTACCTTTGGGTGTATTATTTTAGTGGGGCAAGATGTTTCAGAATGGGACAGCTTTGTCTTAAACATTTGCCCTTTCTTAAGAATGATTCATAGATTCCAAGGCCAGAAGGGATCATTGTGATCATGTAGTCTGACCTTCTGTATAACACACACCATAAAACTTCCCCAAAATAATTCCTAGAGCAGATCTGTTAGAAAAACATGCAGCCTTGATTTTAAAATTGCCAGGTATGGAGAATCCACCATGTCCCTTGATAAGTAGTTTCAGTGATTAATTACTCTGTTAAAAATGTATGCCTTATTTCCAGTCTGAATTTGTCTAGGCTCAAGTTCCAGCCATTGGATTGTGTTATACCTCTCTCTGCTACATTGAAGAGCCCATCATTAAATATTTGTTCCACACGTAAGTACTTACCGACTGGAATCAAGTCAGCCCTGGATCATCTCTTTATTAAACTAAATAGATTGAGCTGTTTGAGCCTGTCATTATACGGCATGTTTTCTAATCCGTTACTCATTCTTGAGGCTCTTCTCTGAACCCTCTCCAATTTATCAGCATTCTTCTTGAATTGTAGACACCAGAACAGGACACAGTATTCCAGCAGCAGTCACACCAGTGCCAAACAGAGGTAAAAGATCCTCTCTATTCCTGATCAAGATTCCTCTGTATATGTATTCAAGGATTGCATTATGTTCAGCTGATTATTCACCACAGCCCCCAAATCCTTTTCAGAGTCACTGCTTCCCAGGACAGAGTCCCCCATCTTGTAAATATGGTCTATGTTCTTTGTTTCTAGCTGTGTACACTTACATTTAGCCATATTAAAACGTATATTGTTTCCTTTTACCAAGTGATCCAGATTGCTCTGAATCAGTGACCTGTCCTCTTCATTATTTACCACCCCACCCCCCAATTTGTATGTCATTTGCAAGCCTAATCAGTGATGATTTTATGTTTTTTTCCAGGTCATTAATATATTATGTAGCATAGGGCCAAGAACTGATCTCTGTGGGACACCACTAGAAACATACCTGTTCAATGATGATCCTTCATTTAGAAGTATATTTTAAGTCCTATCAGTTATTTAGCTTTTAATTCATTTAATGTGTATCATGTTAATTTTATATTATTCTAAGTTTTTAATCAATATGTTATGAGGTACCAAATCAAATGCCTTACCGAAGTATATTACATCAACATTATTACTTTTGTCAATCAAATGTGCAATTTCATCAAAAAAGATATCCAGTTAGTTTGGCGGAATCTCTTTTCCATAAACCCATGTTTTTTGGCATTAATTATATTACCCTCTTTTAGTTCTTTATTAATTGAGTCCTGTATCAGATGCTCTGTTATCTTGCCCAGGATCGATGTCAGACTGACAGGCCTATAATTACCCTGGATATCCCATTTATCCTTTTTAAATATTGACACAACATTAACTTGTGTCCAGTCTTCTGGAATTTTCCCAGTTTTCCAAGACTTCTTGAAGAACATTAATGGTCCAGTGAGTTCCTAAGCCAACTCTTTTAAAATTCTTGGATGCAAGTTTTCCAGATCTGCTGATTTTAAAAAGTCTATCTTTAATAGTTGCTGTTTTACATCCTCCTGAGATACAAGTGGAATGGAAAGAGTGTGGTCATATGATATGATTATATCATCTGTTTTTTCCCAAATACAGAAAAGAAATATTTATTGAACACTTCTGCCTTTTCTGGATTATTATTTATAATTATGCCATTTTCATCTAGTAATGCACTAATACCATTGTTAAGATTCTTTTTGTTCCTAGTATCTTTAAAAATCTCCTTCTTATTGTCCTTAGCTCTGCTGGCAATAAATTTCTCCTTGTGCCCTTTTGCTTCCCTTGTCAATTTTCTACAATTCCTAGCTTCTGATTTATATTCATTATTATTAACTTCCCCTTTCTTCCATTTGTTATATATATATATATATATAAAAATAAACTCACAATTTCCAATCATCATTCACATTTTTCTGATTAAATTCTTCTTCCCAGTTGATTTGGCTCATAACTGTTTTCAGCTTTGTGAAATTGGCCCTTTTAAAGTGCCACGTGTGTCTCTCTCTTGTTTGGACTTTTTTCTGTTTGCACATTATAAATATTATCAAATCATGATCACTTGTACCTAAATTACAATTAATTTTTAGTTCTGTGATCAGTTCCCCGTTATCTGTCAAGCCAAGATCTAATATAGAATCTCTCCGTGTTGGACGCAACACTTTTTGATTAGGAAATTGTCATCTATAATATTTGGAAATTCCAAGGATCATTTAGTTCTGGGAGCATGATACCTCCAATATAGGTCACTCAAAATGACGTCCCCTAGGATCACACAGCCTTTTTTCCTACACATCATAAATAGGTGCGTAAGGAGGTGATCATTCTGTTCCCTGTGTCATTTTGTGGTCTGCAGAAGACACATACTAATACTGCATCTTATGCTTTATCTGTTAGGACATTGATCCTTAAGCATTCAAAATCATTTTCTTCTGAGGTATCAATGAATTGGAAACAGGTAATGCCATTTTTGACAGAGTGCTATCCCTCCTCCCCTTTTGTCATCTCAATCCTTCCTAAATAGGTTATAACCATTGATTTTAATATTCCAGTAGTGTGAATCACCCCCACCAGATTTCTGCAATAGCAACTACATCAAATTTATGAGCAATTCCAATTCCTCTTGTTTGTTATCCTGGCTTTTAGCATTGGTATCTAGGCAATTAAAGGATTTCTTCTCTTCATGTCCTTGGCTTCCTTGATTAATTTTGTTCGCAACATTTCAATTTTGCACAGAGTGTTCATATCTACCCTATTTTTATCTTACACTGTTATTATTAGTTTAACGCCCTCCTGACTACTCTAGACAGGCTTTCCTCGAGAAGATTGACCATGAACATCAGACAGTCCTGTCCACATGCATACTAGCGATGGTTCTTATGGAAATCTTTGGTGCTTAACCACTGACTCTATAAGAAGCTCCCAGGCACTCACAACTACAGAAACTAGGGGAAATGAAAGACACAGAGCAGTTTTGTCTACGCTGCAACTCCCTTGATCCTCCAGTGTCTGTCCAGAAAGACAATATGACCATTATAGGTCTGGTCTGAGGTGCATTTAATGATTCAGTTTAATCTAGGATTTCCCTTTTTGCTGCCTTTTCTGCTCATGCAGGGCTGGCGCTTCCACTAGGCGACCCTAGGTGGTCGCCTAGGGCAGCAGGATGTGGGGGGCGGCATTTCGCTGCCCTCTGCGGAATTTCGGCAGCGAGGGGCTTCTTCTGCTCCGAGTCGTTGGTGGAAATTCAGCAGCGGGCCCTTCACTCACTCCGGGACCCGCTGCCGAAGTGCCCCGAAGACCCGGAGCGGAAGGATCCCCACCACCAAGAACGCAGCTTCAGAGGAGGAGCTGCCGCCGATTACTGTGGAGGAGCGCTGCCGCCTAGGGCGGCAAAAACCCGGGCGCTGCTCCTGTGCTCATGGCAACATTCTAACCATTTTCTGACCTTTCGGTTTCATATTAATGTTTTACACCAGATTAGATTTGTGTATGTCTCTGTGTATGCCTCAGTATTTCTACTCTATTGCTGAAATTTGTGCTAAGATCATATACTGACCAGGATTTCTGTAGCTCTATAGCACAATACATGATCGGCATGATCATTTCTGGAAGTTGATGATCAGGTAACTTTGGCTAATAATCCTGACCAATCATCATCACTGCTAGAAGTTTTTTATTTCATAACGATCATTCTTTGCACAGCCTTAATGAATTTAATGAAATGATCATCTGAGTATATCACCAAATCATTTCCCTGCCATTACAGGGACCTCAGGCACTGATGCATCCTATGTGTGCCTGTGACACATGATAGTTGGGTCTTTTCAGGGCTATAACACTTTGGTCTAATTCTGGTTGTTGGGCTCAATTCAGGGGTAATTGATGTGGGGTTTAGTGGCCTGTGATATATGGATGGGCAGACTAGATTATCTGGTGGTCCCTTCCGGCCTTAAATGCTATGACTTTGTAATATACAGCTGGGAGGTGTCATCCACCAACATGAGACAAAAAAGCAGGTCACTTAGGCCTGGTCATTTGGCTTCAAGACATTTAAGATCTCATGAGGTTATTTGAGGGAAACAGTCTCTCTCCTGTGTCCTGATCCAAGTTCTCCCTTGAATAACACCACAAATGAACTGAAAATGTCTATAGATATGAACATAAGATACTGGTATGTATAAAACAGCAACTAGACTTGACAATATATGATCAAGAGAAACATTATTTATTCTTTTATAGGATGCTACTAGGATTCAGCCAGCAAATAGCCATCCGAATCCTCGCAAGTGTTAAGTAAATAAATAACCCAACCCGCCCCTTCATCCCAAATATTTTCATGAGTATTTAACTCTAACTCAGAGACTTTAACACACACAAAAAAATCTTTCCCCCAGAATTAAAGAAAGTAATAAAAGGATTAGTCTATCTGCACATTAGAATAATCAGGTTAGATTTGTAAAATTGTGTAGATCGGGGTGGGCAAATTACAGCCCGTGGGGTGGATCCGACCTGTCAGGGCTTTGCATCTGGCCCACGGGATTGCCACCCCCATGGCGCCGCAGGGTTAAGACAGGCTCCCTGCCTGCCCGGGCCCCGTGCCACTCCCAGAAGCAGCTAGCACCACATCCCTGTGGGCCCTGGGGGAGGGAGGGCAGAGGGCTCCATGTGCTGCCCTCGCCTGCGGGCACCGCCCCCCTCAGCTCCCATTGGCTGGGAATGGGGAAACACGGCCAGTGGGAGCTTTGGGGGAGGTACCCACAGGCGAGGGCAGCACGCAGAGCTCTCTGCCCCTTCTCCCCCAGGGGTTGCAGGGACATGGGCTGGCCACTTCCAGGAGTGGTGCGGGACCAGGGCAGGCAGGGAGCCTGCCTTAGCCCCGCTGCGCACTGCTGCCACTCTGGAGCTGCTCAAGGTAAGTGGCTCCAGGCTGGAGCCCGCCCCCCAAACTCCTCCTGCACCCCACACCCCAACCCTCTGCTTTGAGCCCCCTGCCACACCCCACACCTCTTCTGCACCCCAACCCCCTGCCCCAGCCCTACATTCAGGGTCCTGCATGCAATTTCCCCACCCAGATGTGGCCCTCGGGCCAGAAAGTTTGCCTACCCCGGTGTAGAACATAATTATTTAGGGTTATTTATTCCCCTCTGTTAGGAATGTTTTTCTGCAGGACTTGGGTCTATAGTGCTTTGACGGAATATCAGGGAGGCCATTGGGAGACAGGGTAATGAATGCAAGTGTCTATTGGCAAAGCTTGTGAGGAAGAAGAATTGTAACAGAAAAATATTTAGATGAGGGCAGAAATCAATGCTATATGGGCAGGACTAAAGTTTTGATGGAGCAGAACTCCATTTGTTCTTGGTCTATGAGTAAATTTCCCCATGTTATTACATACAGTAGTATGAAATCTATCTAACAAAATTATATTTATTTTGTTTTTGCTCCCCCCCTTCTAGACTCTATAGATGGGAAGCATGCTCGAAGGACTCAGTCCAGTAGCCCTTTGGGGGAGTTATTTGACCATGGGCTAGATAGCTGGGCTACCTCCATCTTCATCCTCTCTTATTTTTCTATCTGCTCACGTGATAATGGAAAGACTGGGATTTCTGTACACACAATGTATATATCTTTAAGCATTGTCTTGCTTAACTTTATGTTTTCACATTGGGAAAAATATAACACAGGAGTTCTCTTTCTTCCTTGGGGATATGATCTAAGCCAAGTGGTAAGTATTTATGATTCTTGTTTTTAAAACTATGTTACTGTTAAGTATTAAAGGAAAGAGAAAAATATTGCTCAGGGCAAATGAACTTGGCCAAGAAATTGAATAAGAAATACCATAATCCTAGAAGTATTGCAGAAATATTTGTGCATTTGAAGGGAAAGGGCATGCTGAAACAAATAATCAATGTTATAGTTTCATTACCTTATCAGAAAAATATGCCTACAGCAAGTATAAAAATCAGATGACATAAATGAGAATGTAATTTAGCTAGATTTGATTTGTGACATTTAGATAACAGTAGTTTTAGTGAAACTGTAAGCATAGCAGTTATTTCATCATCACAAGACTCTGGTGCACTGTATGAATTAGTACATATGGCATTTATTAAAATGCCATAATCATTGCTCTGAGCCCCCAGTGCCCTCACTTCCACTGCTCCGTCAAACCTTACATAAAATGCAGGGATATAAATGACACTATTTGCACAATGATCATATGGTGTTCCCAAGTGATTTTACCCATGCAAAAGTTCAAAGTCAAGTACCTTTACTTAGAATTTATCCTCCTGAATTTATTTTCCCAATCTCAGTTTTCTTCTTCTGGTGGCTTACTAACCAGACTCCAGGTGGAGCTCTTTCAGAAACCAGATCCTAGGCAGGATCTTGATGACCAGTTGTACTGCCGTCACACTTTAGGACTTCCCATAAAGGTTCATTCTGCATGGCAGGTACAGCTGGGTGAAGACAATCAATTTTTAAAGCTCAAATTATTAATATGAATATTCACAGAAAGCTGTTCATCATTGATCCAGTGTTGAAAATTCAGAGAGATGTCCTCTATTCATAAAGCTCTATTAGGGAGGAAAACACAGGACTAGGAACCAGCTGCTCTGGATGGTACATCTGGCTGTGGCACCAACTTCCTATGTGACCTTGGGGAAAACACCGCTCTATGCCTAAGTTTCCTCATCTGTAAAATAAAGATGATGAAACTTCCTTATCTCATAGTTGTGCTGTGAGGCTTAATTCAATGGTGCTTGTGAAGACCTTTGATGAACTCAGGTGGAAGGCGTTAACAAAATGCAGACTACTCTTACTTCCATTTTCCATCGACTTATTCCACAAGCCACTGTATTTGTTTTTATACCTCGTTTCTAGTAACATCCGTAATGACCCACTCACAGTCAGAGTGATAAGCAAATAAACTTAAATATCTATTAATTACATGAAGAGGTGGAGAGGGTATTAAGGCAAGGGCTATATATATAGGGCCCAGATCCACACAGGTACTTAGGCATTCTGACACTGAGTGTCATGGCGCCTAACTTTTGAGCATCTAGAAAAATCACAGGAACAAAATTGTGATCCACAAAACCTAGGCATCTAGACAATGAATGGGGGGAAGAGAGGCACCTTACAGTATGATCCACAAAGCCAGCACACTGGGGGCGCGGGGGAGGGGGAAAGAGCTGTCTAAGCTAGTCAATAGGAAATGTTGACAAGAAAGGTGTGTGGTAAGCCCTGCCCTTCTTATGGAGATAGGCACCTAAGTCTGGGCTGCAGGAAGGCACCTGTCTTTGCATGCAAGTCACGAACTAGGGGAGATAGGTGTTCGGCTGCCTAAATTGTGTGCAGGGCCTGAAACAAAAGAGAAGAGGACCTCCCTTATACCTTTAGCCCAGTGGGCAGGGTACTCTCCCATCTGAACAGGGATCAGCCACCTCTCAGGTGAGTGCCTTAACCACTAGGCTATAGAATCATTCCAGCTCTGTCACTAGCCCAATTAATATTTACTTATTCAATTAAAGGAGAACAACTTCAATAGGAGAGACTGATGGAGCCTCACATCAGACTACTCCGTAGCCCAATGTTTAGGACACGCCCCTGAGAGAGGGCTAATTCCTATTCAACTCCCTTCTCTCCCTCAGGAGGAAGAGGGACTTGAACCAGGGGTCTCCCACATTCTGGGTGAGTACCCTATCCCCTCCCAACACAGCTGTTTTGTGTGAACTCTCCTGAGGGTCGCTATCCCGTAGGCTGTCTCTCAGCACATTCAGATGCAAAAACACAGGCAACGAGTGAGTTTAGGTGCCTACAGGGTTAGGCAGCAGCTGAGCAGAGTTTCATGGATCGTAGTTATGTCTAAAAACAGGACCCAAGTATCTTTGTGGCTCACACCCTAGGTGTCCTTACTTCAGCAACTAGTGCTTGGCATTGAAGTAATGCTCATTATGCACTGACTGAAGCTTGGGAAGGGGGAGTCTGATCCAGTTCCTGTATTGGCTCTGCCACTAATTCACTGGGTTAAATTTAGTGAAGTTACTTAAGGCCCAATTCTACCACCAATAGTCCGTACAGTACTTTAGTAGTACCTTATTGTACTAAAACCCCGTTGTAGTAAAAGGCATTTCTCACAGATTAAGGTGCTACACAAGGCAAATAAGGGTAGTAGAACCAGGCTCTTCATCTCTTTATGCTTCTGTTTTCCCATGTGTAAAATGGAGGCAATACTTATTGATGTTTGTAAATCACTTTGGAACCTTAGATGAAAGGTTCTGTTTAAAGCAAGCACGTCATTATTACCTCCAGCAGCACAGAAGAAGACTCCTCTAACTTCATTCAATGGCAGAGTTACACTATTACACCACTACTTCAAGCACAGAGATGATCCAGTCCCCCTTACAAATGTGCCTCCTTTTTAAATAGGTTGCCAAACCTCCAGAATTGTCCTGGAGTCTCCAGGGATTAAAGATTAATCTTTAATTAAAGTTTATGTCATGTGATGAAACCTCCAGGAATACATCCAACCAAAATTGGTGACCCTATTTTTAAATTGATGGTAGCCAATCACTCAGGGCCACATTTTCAGCATAGTGTGCTGCATATATTAACTAGAATTGTATGAGAGCAGCAGTTGTGTAAGCTCAATGACAACTTAACCCTCATTGTGCAGTTTACAAGATGATGATGATGATGACTCAGCTTCATTCTATGCAGTGACAGACTATCCTCTGTAATTGCCTCTATCTTAATTAGAAAATAAAATAGCTGTGGTTCATCATGAAAAAGTCATGAGACAGAGAAATTCTTGTAATTTATTCAGATCACTTATTTGCCACTGCATAACTCATCAGAATTAGTAATGTAATTACAGTGTTTTGGTTGTAATTGGTGTTCCAATTAGCTTTGTTAGAGCTAGCCATTCATAGGAGGCCATGATACGTAAACTTGAAAATTAGGTGTAAAGTTTCTGAAGGATAGGTGATCAAAGACATCTACATTTATAGAATCATAGAAATGTAGGGCTGAAGGGACCTTGAGAGGTCATTAAGTCCAGCCCCCTACTCTGAGGCATAATCAAGTAAATGTAGACCATTCCTGACAGCTGTTTCCAACCTGTTCATAAAAACCTCCAACGATGGGGATTTCACAGCCTCCCTTGGACGCCTATTACAGACATTAACTACCCTTATAGTATTTCCTAATATCTAACCCTAAATCTCCCTTGTTATAGATTAAGTCCATTAGTTCGTGTGCTACCTTCAGTGGACATGGAGAACAACTGATCAAGCCTTAATATTTTTGTTAATTAAAACCATCCAGAAGGATGCTGCCTTAATGATGTTTGTTTCTCCAATAAACACAAGCTCTTAGTCCTATGCAGAGTCAAAAAGGCAGACAGAGGAGGAGCCTCTTTACATTACACTGGTGCAAGACATAATTTTGGTCCCAGTGGACAAGGATTCACGTAAACAGTATTAGAAACCCCATCAGGAGAGAGGTGAAGGAATGGCCATCATTAGAGCTGGTTTAAAAATGCCGGTTACTTTTCACAGGAAATTTCTATAGATTTAAACATTTCCATTTATTTGTAATTTTGTGTGGAAAAAACACTGGAGATGTTTGATTAAAAGAAAAAAAGTTTTTAAAAAATATTTTAAAAAAATATTGATAAATGTTACTGAAAAGTTAACTTTTTAAAAGAAACTGCCCCATTAATTTATACTGAAAAACTTGTTGGTTTCTGGTTTTTGGGTGACAAAATGGGAAATTTTGATCAAAATAAGTTTCATTCTGGTCAAAAAATTATAATTGAAAAAGAGATTATGAAAAAATTTGGACTAGCTCTAACCATGACCCTGCTGTGGCTCTAAGCCAGCTCCAACAGCTAGTGTGAAGTGGTAGCAAAGAATTTATTGCTTCTTATTGCTACTGTGTGCAGTCCCAGAAACTTTATGCTTATCAGAAGCACTATGGGAAATTTTTCTTTAATAAAGTGGTAGGTTAAATCCTACCAGATAAATTACAAATGTTGGTAATAACTGGAGTGATTTAGGTGTATAGGCTGTGTCCCTACTTCTCACTCACTATTGCCAGTTCAAAAGAGGAAACAAAGCTAAAAATAAAAGGAAAAAATAAACAGCAGTTGTGAGAAGGAGCCTCTCAGTCTGAGCAGTGAACCACCAGAAAAGCCCAGATAGTGTGTATTCACTGAAAAGATGGTAGTGGCATTACTATTTCAATGTTCAGAGTTGAACTCAGATAGCTATTTCAGATAAAAAGAAAATTACACTTCTAACCCAAATAGTTATACCAGTTAAAAAACAAAAACAAACAAACCACCTGTTTGTGGACCAGGCCCTACTGAACTAGTGTGTGACCAATCACAATCAACTAACACCGCTTGAAATTAATTTAAGTGAATATCACATGTTCAAATTCACATGAACATCAAGAATATTTTTATGTGCAATTGCATAAAAAACTTTGAAATTTTTTAGAATGGCTTCAAAAGAAAACCTGTAAACAGTCACATTTTGTTGGAAAGTCATTTTCTTCAAATATTTTTCTTGCCTCTACTAAGTATTAAAATAGAATTAATGTTAAGGGTTGATTTACTACATTGAGAGGCACACCCCAGTAGGGTTCTGTATAGCCTCTATTCTGCAAATGGGTTTGTCTAGATGGAGAGCTCATGCACGGCAAGCTGGGGTGTACATT